TGGGTTGTGCTGACCAGCCAGAGCCTGAGCCTGTTTGTGCCCCTCTCTCTCTCTGACCCCTCCCTCCGGCTCATGCTCTGGTTCTCGCTGTCTCAAAATAAACGCTAAAAAATAAAAATTAAAAAAAAATATATGTTTGTACAGTTTTATAAACGAATCATCTGAGACTTGGACAAACCTGTTTATTTGCACATTGTTGGAACCTAATTGCCTAAGATGTGGTGTTGGGCAAGTTTAATTGGCCTCCAGACGTCAATGAGAACTGCCTGTGCCCGGTAGTGAGGGTGGTTCCCAATGCCTCTGCCAGGAGGGGACGCAGGTTCTGTGGTTACGAGACAGGCCAGGGGATGGTCAGGGGTCTCTGAGGCAATGGAGTTTGGAACAGAGAGAACGGGTCAAGATGTTTAGGTGTTTGGGGCTTAATGTTTGTTTATTTTTTTTTTTTTTTTTGGTTGAGTTTGATGTCTTTGGCAGGGTCGGGAGAGAATGAGAGTCCTCAATCCTGCCAAGAACTTGTGGCTGTATGTACGCTTCCATGGCTAGACGCCGGTGGTCTTAGCGACGTTGTGATGCTGTAAAGTGCTGCGGCATGTTTTCCACAGGCTTGGGGGGCCGCAAATAAATGGCCCAGCTTTATGACTCACACTTCAGGTTCTGGTGCCGCAGTGCGTACCGGCTCATGCCGGTGGGGTCTGAGGCCTGAATAGTGAAGTGATCTCGGGTCTGGCCAGCAGGGGACAACTCGGGCACGCCTCTGGGCGGAGACACACGCCGAGCTGAATGGTTCCGCCCTTGGTCCCGCCTGCGATCCAGCTGGTACTTGGACTCCTCTGGGGCTTCTGCCTCTCCTCCCCCTCAACTGAGAGATGACAGGCCTGCCGGGCGTTAACATTGAAGGACGGCGTGAAGCGCCGTGAGTTGATCGCCACCCAAGATGACTGTCCTGCCCTGCCACCTTTCCCTGTCCCCCTGTCCCCAGACAGACTCTCACGGGTTTTGTAAGCAACATACTGACAGGTGTGCCGGGATCATGCAAGGTGAGGCCCTGTCCATGGAGAGAAACGTGGGACCAGCAGATTCGCTGCGGAGGGGCGTTTGAACCACACTTGGATGCCTCTTTGTGTTGCTGTCCTGCCTTGTTACGTCGCTTGTCACTCTTACTGATCGCGTGAGTTCCTTGAGGATCGGGACTTCTTCCGCAAGTACGCCAATACACACACAAAATTTTGAGGCACACCGGGGACCGTCTGGGAACAGGGACAGGACTCTACTCTGCTCCAGGCTCCTGCCCTCGTGTTCGCAAGCAGAGCGACGTTTTCCCGTCATCACCCAGCCTGGGGCGGCCGCCGACATCTGGGCCGGATATATGCACTGTGGATTGCACAGAGTAGATTCTCCTCAGTCGCCATGAGGTCCTTGTAGCCGGCGTGAGCCGAGGGTTTTGTGGGGCCGTGAGGGTCACGAGATCTGTGCAGAGCTGCTGGAGTCCTTGCAGCATCTTTAAAATAACGGACACGCTCTGAGACCTGCCTGATGGCGTGTGCAGACGCCCAAAGCAGGTCCTGGGAACACATGGAAGCTTTTAAGTTTCTTTTGGCTGAGAATTCACTTGTTATTTATTCTTACTTTAAAAAATGCTTTAGCTTGCTATTATTTTTTATTTTACAGAGACGGAGAGAGTGTGCAAGTGGGGTGGGGTGGGGAGAATTCAAGGAGGCTCCTGCCGCCACATCCCATGACCCTGGATTGGGACCTGACCCTAAATCAGAGTCAGACACTAACTGACTGGAGCTGCCCAGGTGTCCCGGGATTTACTTACTTACTTACTTGCTTCCTGCATTTATTTGTAATTATCTAATGCTTTATTTACTTTGGAGAGAAAGAGAGACAGAGAGTGGGAGGGCAGAGAGGAGAGGAGACACAGAACCGGGCCAAGCAGGCTCTGTCTCAGCTGTCGGCCCAGAGCCCTGGGCGCTTCCACCTCCTGAACCGGCCAGAAGCATGACCTGAGCCGAGGTCGGTCTCCACTGCCTGAGCCGCAGGCGCCCCCCTGGGGAATAACTTTCAGTGGCTTCGTTCCTTTTGATCAAATGACATGCATCGCTCGATCTGGTACTGAGCTCAAGGTCAGGTAGCTTCCAGAGCTTGTAAAGTTAGGGACAGCCCGGTGAGTCAGAGGAGACACAAGTGGCCTCCTGTCTTGCCCCCCAGCCACTGTCCCCATTTGCTCACCTTCTTCCTGACGCTGAAAGCAACTCTGCTGGCAGACGATCATAATGGCAGAGGGAATGGATTTCTCCAATGGCTTTGACCTTTAATGCTGCACAGAGAGTCGCTAACACCCCACTTAACTCCCCCCCGCCGAGTTGCCCGCCGCGGTGGTTATGCTGTTCATGCGTGAGCGTTTCAGAAGGGCAAAGCTGAGACTGGGGAGATGGTGGGCTACGCCCATCCGCTTTCCAGCAGACAGATTTATTAGGGTGGTGGTGTAGCCTTTCTTTCCACCAGGCTCAAACGGAAATGCTTTACTTTAAAGGACTAGAAATCGATGCCAAGGAGCCTGGGTGAGAGACCCGGGCAGAGTGAGTGCCCCGGGAAGTTACTACACACCCCTTCGGCCTCTGAGTAAGGCTGCTCACAGAGCAGGGAGGGAGCTCGGCGCTTCCTTCCCGCAAATCAACAAGACAGACCTGCGGGGTCAGCTTCAACCGACAGCTGATGCGGGTGTTTCTCCAATCGCTTCCCCCTCAATGCTGGAAGGCCTTATTACGCTTTTTTTTTTCTCTCAGTCAGATTCCGACGTGAAGATGAGCCCTCCAAGAAGAAAAAACTGTCCTTCAGGTAAGCTTAGGACCCGGCAGAAGCCATTTCTTCCCGTGATTGCTCTCCCAAAGAGAGTCACCATCACCGGGAAGTGTTTCCACCACACATCAGAGGGGCAGACTAAAGCATCCGAGGACCCAGCTCCCTCCGTGGTTTGGTTGTTCTCGAGTCAGCTGCCCTCGCGTGTTTGTAGGGCCTCCCCCCCCCGCCGCTGGCCTCGGTGCTGGCCTGGTGGGGTCACCCCGCTGGGGGGCAGCCAGTGGCAGGGAGGCAGAAGTGGGTGCCGGGCGCATTTCCTCACGAAGCGATCTCTTGAGGAAGGGTGAACGGAGCTGGCAGAACTGCTGGAACGCAGGTGTGCTGTGCAGTCATCCTCCCGGGCCTCTGTCTTTAACCTGGAGAGGAAGTATCACAACGCGTTGTATGCAGCCCTCAGTGCTTCACCAGCCTTTAGTTGATATTTCATTCCTAAGGTAGCACAGAAATGTCAAGGCTAAGCATTATCACCCCCCTCAGATTCTGCTGGTGGACTGGTGAAGGGAGCTGCCTGCCCGGCAGCGATGGTGGCAGGGCGGACTTCTCTAATTGGACCGTCTGTGTCCCAGCCCTTCCTCAAGCTGCGCGCTTGGCTCCTGCTCCACCTGAGACCGAAGTCCTCACAGACGATGCCGGAGCTGATCTCGTCACCGCTTGGTTCTGAGCTCTGTCCTGGTGCCTTTATTCGCCCCCCGAGCTTTTCCCGCCTCCACTCCGCCAGGGACTTACGCATCGATCTTTGTGGATCGTGATGTCTCAGGAAAACAAAAGCAAAAGCTGTCCCGTTTTGTTGCCGATTATGTCGCGGATCAGGCGCAGACGCCAGAGCTGCCCCCCTTTCCCTGACTCTGCTGTCACCTCCACTGCTGGGAGCCCGGCCAGGCCAGCGTGGGAGGGGAGAGAGGCCCCCTGGCCCTGTGTCGGGGCACGGAAGAGGAGCTGGGTGCGCCAAAAACTGGCAGCTGAGGCTGTTGAGGCCGGTTCTCCTGCTACTCCAGGGTGGCTTCCTGGAGGGGTGGGGTAAGGGCAGCCTGAGTCATGGGGCATCTGGCTCAGAGGGCCTCCGAGCACAGAGCAGCCTCCCATGGAGGGGCTGGGGACACTTGGCTCACATGGAGTGGGGACCCAGTGCCAATAGGGTGTGGCTGTGACCCCAGATGCCATCTGAGAAGTCAGACGCCTGCTGGGTAGCCTGAGCATGTGAACCCACGCGGGCACCTGGGCCCGCCTCCCCACGTGTTGCTTGAGTCTCATGGTCCCGCCCTGGCTGGAATGTTCAGAGCTGTGGACAGACAGTAGGGGAGGAGCCCAACGGGCCAGATGAACTGTTCTGTCTGCCTGACTCACCAGCCTTTCTTCACTTGCTCTGGGCGCTTGCTGTTTTCTGGCCGGTCGGTGGGGCTGAAGTATACTGGCCCTCCTCCAGATAGGGGCACAGGCCTTGTTCCATTCTCCTTTTTAGACTGACACCTCCCTGCCCTCCAGTTAGGCCAGGCTGGCCCCTCCGTGGCATACAGAAAGCAGAATGAGACTTTTTCCGCAGTAGGAACTGATGGCTGAGTCATTTACAGATTGAGAAGTTAAATGTCAATTTGGCATAAGCTCGAATGTGCCATGGACGATAGGGCTTTCCTGGGCAGGGGAGAGGACTTTGGGCAACAGGAGTGAAGGTCTTTTGGACAGAGCCCTGTTCTTGACTTTGAGTAGCAATCCCAGGGAAGCAGGGAGTTCCTATGTTAAGAACCTTCTCAAGCTCCTGGAGAGAGGTAGAGCTGCACGCAGCTGGAGAGAGCCCCGCTTGGGAAGAAGTGGATGATGTGGGATTAAAAGCATCGCGTGAGGTCAGCCAAAAGCCACAGACTCAGGGAAGGCTCTGGGGCACAGGGGCAGCTGAGCTGGGTTGGTGTGGGAGCCTCAGGGAGAACATGTCTTCCTGGGAGAAGCAGCCAGCAGAGGGGCTCAGGTAGGAGGCAGATGGGATCTCCCCAGCCAGGCAGCGGGCAGAGTTGAGAAGGAAGTAGGGGCCGATGAGATTTTTGTAGCACGGAGCTTCATCTGTGCTTCTGTTCTGGTGCTGATAACGCTGCATCACCAGATCTCACTTGGCACGCTTTTCCTCCTTCCCAACCTGTGCTCACCAGGATCCGGGCGCAGGGCTGGCCTGTCTGCCTGTTTCTGAGCTCAAAATCCCGTCGAAAGAGACTGGCAGGCTGCCCTGCCCCACGCCTTCCTCCCGAAGCCTCGGATGGCTCTCTGGACGCTAAGCCCTCCAGACAGGTTTAAGACTAAGCCTTCTTCCCCTCGCCTCTCTGTCAAGGGCACCACACCACCACCACAATTCTCTGCCATCAAGGCTGCTGCCAAGAGTGCTGCCCCACAGGTGACGAAGAAGCAGATCACGCAGGAGGAGGGACGACAGTGATGAGGAAGTAGCCCCCCGAGAACTTTTTTCTCCCTTCCCTGACAAGGCTGAGCTGCCTGAGTTGAGCCATACCCTTACCACTCCTCCTGCCGTCCCTGGAAGAGCTGCCTCCAGGCACGGAACCGAGCCGCCTTCCAGGACGACGCAGCCAATGCCCCCCCTCAATTCAAGATGGCAGCGCGCGGGGGCCCTTGAGCCTGGGCCTGGGGATGATCACGCTATAACCAGTTTCCACATAAGCAGCGCATGCTGGGCACGCTGGTGCTTATTATCAGGTGGTAGTGGTCTGAGGGCGGGCCAGGCGCTGCTGGGAGCCGGGTACGGAGAGTTTGAGCCCTGTCCTGGCATCAGGGTTTTGCTTTTGGCTGAATTAATGTCTTCCAGCTTCTTTGATTTTCCTGGTATATTCCCGCCTCAAAACGTACCACCTTTGTTCTGAAAAAGGGCCCGTCTTGAAGTCTGACAGGGAGAAGTACATAACTGATATCGCTTAGCCTTGGAAACCAGCCCCAGAGAGCTGGCGGAGGTGTAGGGAAGGTGGAGATCCAAGACCCCTGGTGATGGTGCTGAGAGTGAACTGAGGGTGCACTGAGCAGGAAGGAAGGAGAGGAGGGGCTGAGGGCGAAGGGGATCTGGAGAGTCGAACACAGAAGGGGAGAGGGGAAGGCAGGAGCCACGGGAAGGTGAAAGGATGGGAGCCCCTGTCCCAGGGAGCCAGGGGACCGTAATTTGTGCTGTGACAGACAGTGGGGTCTGAGGGGGTTGGGCTTGAAATCCCAAGCCATGTGAGTCTGGGCAGATTCCTCAGCTGTACGGGGGGGGGGGTAACAGCAGTGGCCTCGTAGCGATGCTGGGACAAGCCCATCAGCGTGGCATGGTGCCCGGGCCAGAGCAAATGCCCAGGAAAGAGTTGGGATAACTTTTTATCCCAGTGCCATTTGGAAGAGCTGCTTAGCTCTGTTGTGAGTGGCGTCAGAGGATATGGGAGGCCAGGTGAGTGGGTTTAGGAAAGACTTTCCCGGCATCACAGTCCTGGGTGGAGAGGGCTCCAGGGGCTCAGGGACTCGCCAGTGTTCTGACCTGTTCAGCCAAACAAAACAAAACACAACAACAACCAAAGCCATTTAAAGGAACAACAACCAGGCATTCTGTATTTATTTATAAACTGCACTGAGGGAGTCCGTGCACGTGAAACATGTAATGTGCACTCGGGACCCTGCAGTTCCACGTATCTTTCTGTGAATGCTTTCATAGAAAATCGTGCTCTCATCGCTCTGGATTCTTACGTGTTTTATTCGGTCAGTGTTAAACCTTACTTTCCATTTAGTTCACTATAAAATGAATGTTCTTCAAGGGGCATTTTTTGGAGTTTTGGGCAAAAGTGGAAGAATTGGGAGAAAGCGTGGGCCGGGAGGAAGCCGCTTCTCAGCCCGAGGGCCACCTGGCTGGCCTCCTGGGGGCTCGTCCTGCCTGCACCCCTCTTCCTCCGGGACCGCAGCAGCCTCCGACAGCTCAGCTCCAGGGTGGTCATCAGATTCCTGAGCCGAGTGCCCGGGAACACACACCTTGGCTTGTTCCTGGCTTTGTAAATTCCGTACCAGTCTGAAAGCCATTTATTTTATGTTAGGTTTTTATTGACGTATAGTTGAGGGGCGTCTGGGTGGCTCAGAGGCCGGTTCAGCGTCTCTTGATTTCTGCTCAGGGCATCATCTCACGGATGTGAGATGGAGCCCTTCGTCGGGCTCTGTGCTGCGTGTGCAGCCTGCTTAAGATCCTCTCTCCCTCTCCCTTTGCCTCTCCCGCACTCCCTGAAAAAAAAAAGAAAAGAAGAAAAGAACTATAGTTGACACGATGGATGTTATGTTAGTTTCAGGTGTGTGGCGATTTATTTCATATCAGAGATCTGCACCCTCCCTCCCCGTTGCAGGCAGCGTCCTTGGGTCCACAGGCCCAAGATTAAGACAAAGAGCGGGAACGGTGCGCCCTCACACCTCTCCCCTGCTCACAGCCGAGCGTGTCTCCATCTCACGGGCAGGAGGTGTGGCGCTGAGGGCACTGTGGCGTGAGGGTTGGGATTCACCCTGGGGAGCAACCGAGGGAGAGGGGAGCAACCGAAGCAGGAGAGAATGCCTGTTTCTCGTCCCCCTTCCCTGAGCTATAGCCACCTGGACGGTACCGATCGGAGAAGCTGCAGAGGGTCTTCTGAGTTACGGATGGGTCCTCGGGACGCACGCCTCTACCTGGGCCGCTTGAGGGGCCGGTGGTGCGGGTGCCTCCGCTGCCACTTGGTGAGGGTTTGCTCTGCTCCAGACCTTGTCCCCTGTCCGCTGTGCCCCTCAGTTGGTGTGTTTTTTCCCTCTCTTGACTGCAGGATTATTACAGTGGTGGCTACTATCCTGCACAGGACCCGGCCCTGGTCCCCCCCCAGGAAATTGCCCCAGACGCCTCCTTCATCGATGACGAAGCAGTAAGTTAATAAAGCACGGGTGACCATCTTTGACCCATGGACGCCAGGTTTCAAATGCAAAAGTAAAGAAACCTTTTGGGGAGGGGGGCCTGGATAGCTCAGTTGTTTGATCATCTGACTCTTGGTCTCAGCTCAGGTCTTTAACGTTTATTAATTTTTGAGAGACAGGAAGAGACAGAGTGTGAGCGGGGGAGGGGCAGAGAGAGAGGGAGACACAGAATCCGAAGCAGGTTCCAGGCTCCGAGGTGTCGGCACAGAGCCTGACGCGGGCTCGAACTCAACAGACCGCGAGATCATGACGTGAACCAAAGCCGGACGCCCAACTGACTGAGCCACCCAGGCACCCCTGTGGTGGAATTTTGCTCAGGTCTTGATCTCAGGGTCGAGAGTTCAGGCCCTGCATTGGGCTCTGCACTGGGTGTGGGGTTTGTTTGTTTGTTTGTTTGTTTGTTTTAACTATATTCAGTTAGGATTCGCTGTGGCAGAAACCCCAAAGTGCAGTGGCTTACATCAGAGGAGTTAACTTTTTTCTTCCTCAAAGAAGGCCGGAGTCAGCCCTGCATAGTTGTTGGGGATCCGGGCGCCTTGTGGTGATTCCTCTGCTGTCCCTGCATTGTGGCCTTTGTGCTCTGGTCGGTGGTGGCTGAGGCTGCCGCTCTCTCGCCTGCATTGCGGCCGCTGTTCTGCGGCAGGTGGAGAGACCGAGGAAGAGTATCTTCTTCTCCTTTGGGGAGACCTCCCCCACATCTCCCCAGAGTTCCTACCAGCGCTTCCATTTCTGTCTCGTTGACTAGAGTCTGGTCACGTGACCACATGTGGCTTCAGGGGGAGCCCAGGGGTGGGATAGTCTTTTATCCAGTTGGGTGGTGATATGCCAGAATGTTGGGCTCCTTCACGTTAAAGGTGAAGGGGACGATGGATTTGGGGAGAGGACAGCAGCCACAGTGAATGACTCCTGTGTTCACACGCCTGGATCCCCTGCCGCTGGGCTCCCTCACCTCAGCACAAGGAGAGAGAAAACCCCGGGTCCCGTCAGGCTGTGTTCCGGACGGGAAATCTTGTTCTCTCCGTAGGGAGGTCTCAGCCTGTCAGGAGGGGGCTGGGGAAGTGGGGGTGTGCTCTTTTTGCATTCAGCCTCTTAGGAAAAATAACCCCCTCTCGCCTCTTCACAGAGAGGTGTCCATCCCTCCGCATGCTTCTTCCTGCTGTCACTGTGTCCCCTGCAGGTGTATCCTTGACACGGTCCATAGTTGGGCCCTTTTTGTCCTCAGCCTGGGAGGCAGCAGAGAGCTCAGCCAGGGGCGAGAGTTCTTTCCTGCAGGTAGAGTCCCTCGGAGGAGACCTCACCAGTGACGCTGAGAGCTGGGCCTGGCCTGCACTCAGGTCTCTGAGTGTTTCAATTAGAGTCCCCTCACCCACACGAGTCCGGGCGACATTGGTGTGACCTGCCCTTTCGGTGAGGAGGGCAAGAGAGAGCGGCAGCCTCCTAGAAATCTTGCCAGGCTCCCTCTCTCCCAGCTCCGCCTCTGAGGTCCACTCTGGTGTGGAGTCTGCTGATTTTGTGATGACAAACCAATGAGAAGGAACGCACGTGTAAAAACCAATTTTTAGAGGAAGAATCCTAGATTTTTTTTTTTTACCCTGAATTCTTCTTTTTTTTAATGTTTGTTTATTTTTGAGAGTGAGAGCGAGAGAGAGAGAGAGAGAGAAAGGTGAGTGCAAGCAGGGGAGGGACAGAGGGAGAGGGAGACACAGAATCCAAAGCAGGCTCTAGGCTCCGAGCCGTCAGCACAGAGCCCGGCGTGGGGCTCAAACCCACGAACTTGTGAGATCATGACCTGAGCTGAAGTCGGACGTTTGACCGACCGAGCCACCCAGGCGCCCCTACTCTGAATTCTTAATCTGAAAATTGTATGCAGTCCTTTTCGGTACGTTGAACTTACGCATAGTTTGAGCACATGTTCCCAGCAGTGATCCCCCGCCCCCGTACTCGCTCATGTTTGGGGGTACCGCCTTGGCCTCCCTTTCCCTGAGGGCAGGAGAACGTCTGGGCGGCAGCCCTTCATTGGGCATCGGACGAGTTTGATAGGTGGGGGGTGAAATGGGGTATCGCACAGGGGGGAGTTAAGGACACTTAATTGTGTTCTCCTAACTGGGTCGGGAAGCATCATTGCACCGTGTGACGGCCGCCGTGGGTAGCACAGGGGGCGGGGGGATGGTCGTAAGATGATTCCATAAATTCTGGGTTTCTAGTGAGTCCCCGATCTCTCACCCAGATCCCCCACTGCTCTCTGTCTCCTTTTCCAGTTTAAGCGGCTACAGGGCAAGAGGAACCGAGGGAGGGAGGAAGTCAACTTTGTGGAGATCAAAGGTGACGACCAGCTCAGTGGGGCTCAGCAGTGGATGACCAAGTCGTTGACAGAAGAGAAAACCATGAAGTCATTCAGCAAAGTAAGTGGGAAGGGTCTGTTGCACGGCTGACTTGGGGGTGGGGGGTGCCCAGAGCAGAATCTGGGCCTGCTCCTGTCCCGACCCCACACCCGATGGTTACCCCCCAGCACCTTTCACAGATGCCTACCACCCGTGGAACTGGAGCCTGCGCCGAGCCTCACGGATGCAGCCTCCGCCTTCCAGAACTTTCCAGAACTTTGCGGCACTTTGCTTTCTGTCTGGGGGGTGGAGTCTTGTCACCGAGACTGGGCGACTCGGGAAGAGCTTTGATGCGTTGTGGCTGTCTCCCCGGTGGGACAGAACCCGCAGCTGCCCTGCCCTCTCCCTCTGTCACTTCCCGCCTCCACCCTGCCAGGGTGGGGCCTGGCTCAGCACATCTTTGAAGTGTGGATGGAACAGCAGAGTCCTGGGGGCTCCGGTTCTGAGTATGCACCCCCTCCCCTCTCCTTTTTTGCTGTTACTTATTGTCGCCAGCTGGGGGCTTTTCGGGTGTTTATTCTCCACACTTCCCACACCACACGCCTGCCTTCCTGTGCTAGTTTTCTTCAGTCAGCGTGAGGGACCCCTCTCCACCTAGTAGCTGAGCACAGCAAACATGGACATTTATGAGCCTGCCACGGGGGGCGGAATGTGGGGAAGCCCTGGATTCAAGCCCAGCACCAGCAAGGCCAAGGTCGGGCATCTTCTCCCCTTCTCCCTCCCACTCTCTCCGCTCTGTTCTGTGGCCACAGATGGCCGTCTGAGCTCTGGCCGTTTGTTTTCACCGAATGCTGGCGGTCGTACAGGACAGAGCAGAGGGCTGTGGTTAGATCAGCACAGAGCCATCCGTGTTTCCTGGAAAAACCACTGGGGGGAGCGTGCTCTCCTAACCGGGTCGGAAGCATCACTGTTCCGTGTGACAGCCGCCGTGGGTGGCGTCCACCGTGGCCAGCGAGTGCATCGTGCTTGTCGGCTTTGATGGTGACGTTAAACGGTGTCCCACAGCAGCCAGGAATTGGGGGTTTGCTGCTGCTTGGGTCCTTACTTTCTTTGCACCGCCTCATGGTGTTACAGCTCGACTGTTTAAAAAGAAGAGAAACCTACGGTTCGTGTCCTCGAGGGCTTTACGGCACAGCCGGGAGAAAGTTGATGAGTGATGGGGGGTTGCCGAGGACCCTCTAGAGAGGAGTGTTGGGGGCTGGGTGGGGCTGATAGGATGCTTCTGGTCTGAGGCAGCACTGGTGGGGCAGGAAAACCGTAGGATGAAAAAGCCCAGACCAGTATAGACTTTGACAGTAAAGCTTTTGCTTCAGAGCTTGGTTAGGGCTTGGGTGTAGTTACCGGTGGAGGCTGGAAGACTGGGGAGAGGTGGGTGGTGGTGAAAATTCTGATTCCAGGGTCTCTGGGGAGGCACACGCCGGGGAGGGGGGGCGGGGGCGGGCTTTCAGCTAGAGGCTGGGGATGGGAGAGCTGGGGAAGCTGTAGGTAGGAGCAGGCTGGGTGGCTGGCCTGCCGGGGAGAAAGGGACAGAGACAGGGAGGGCTGAGGCGGAGACGGGCAGGATTACGAGAGGGAGGGAGGTCACCCAGGCCCTGGAACAGAAGCTGTTGTAGAGTCACTACACGTAATACAGCCAGCTTCAAGTGCCCACTGTGGGCAGAGCCCTGTGCTTGTCGCTGGGGGTGGGTGGGGTGGGGTGGGGTAGGGTTACCAAAGAAACAGAAGACGCAATCCTGACCTCAAAGCATCTCCAGTCCAGCAGAGATATTAGCAGGCTATTTCAGGCAGAGCTTCTTAGCCTGGGTTTTTGGCATAATGGTTTTAATAAAAACCGTTTTGTGAGCGTACAGACATAAAAACAGCCCCAAGCTGACTTTTCTCCCCCAGGTTTTAGGCCAAGTACTTGGTTTCTAAGCCCCAGCCTTGCACCATCTGGGCACGTGTGATACTTCTCCTTTTCTTCCTGTGGCTTAAAGAGTGTGTTTTCTTCCCTTGCAGAAGAAAGGGGAGCAGCCAACGGGCCAGCAGCGGCGGAAGCACCAGATCACGTACCTGATCCATCAGGTGAGAGGGTCCCCGGAGACCCCAGGGACAGCCGGCTGAGACCCCTTGACTGCGGGCCCGAGGCCCCTTCACCGCCCCGTGGGCTGGAAGCCCAGGTGCCAGGCACCAGCTTCCCAGGGTCCGTTCTCCATGTGGCCACTAGGGGGGGGATGTGTCCTTCAGAATCTCCTACCACCCCACCCCGCCTCGCCCTGGCGCCTGTCACTTCCCACTTCCCTTCAGCCTCAAGTGCCAGGGGCTTGTGAGTAAACTAGGTGGAGATTCAGATACCCAAACATGCACGCGGAGGGCAGCAAAGTGGTTTCTCCTACGGTTCTATTACATGGCAAGTTTATCAGAAATAAATGGCGAGTTTATCTATCTAGGGATTTAAGAATCTAAAGAAAAAAATGGGTTCACCAGCTTTTAACAGAACATCCACCTGATAAGGATGTTGGTTTTGTAGTCTCCACTTCTGTGGCAGGAAACAACACAAATAATTAAAAATCGCAGCTAATCCAAACATGTCTTCTGGAATTAGAATGTCACTTACCTGATAGGACCCAGCAACTCTCACTTATTTAATCATTAAGCAGACATCTTTTGGAGACCTCCTGTGCCAAACGCTGTCTGAGACCCAGATGGGAACGTGCTGTTCTGGCCCTTTCCCTGGGGACACATTGCTGCCTGGTGATTTCAGGGGGAAATCTGCTTTTGCTGTTCTTGTCAATGGTTCACCTTCCTTTTCAGGGACTCCCCTGTGTCCTTATCCTGACTTGTTATTTGTAGGGAAAGGATTCGAGGGTAGGGTTTTCTTTTAAGCCCAAACCCTTTTTTTTTTTTAATGTTTATTTTGAGAGAGAGCGCGAGTGGGGGAGGGGCAGAGAGACTCCCAAGCAGGCTCTGCAGTGTCAGCGCAGAGTCGGAAGGGGCGGGGCTTGAACTCATGAAGGGTGAGATCGTGACCTGAGCCAAGATCAAGAGTCCAGTGCTCACCTGCTGAGGCACCCAGGTGTCCCTAAACCCTAACTCTTCACCTCCGCCCCTTAACCAATGGGAGGTGGGCAGATACCAGCTAACTCTGGCGGGGTGGGGTTGGCGAGCCCCCCTTCTCAGGTGGTGCCTGTAGGGTCCCCAAGTGTGGCGTTGAGGTCAGCAGAGGAAAGTCACAATTCTGGTGCCTTCCAGTCTGTATTTCACAGCTTCAGTTTGTGCTTGAAAGGGGTGTGAATTTCTAGGGTTCCACATCCACCGTGTGCAGCACAGCAGTGACACTCCATCTCGAGACACAGCTGTCGCTTGGTGTCCCGTGTGGCCCTGTCCACATCTTTGACACTGTCCTCTCCCGCTTGGCTGGTCGGGCATCCAAGGCATCTGATGTCCTCCTTTCAGATGCAAATTCCAGCTCACCTCTGTCAGGTTTCCACTGGAGAGATTCGGTTTTAATTCCAGCAGGTGTAGGACCAGGATGCTTCTGTTCTGTTTTTGTAAAGATTTTATGTATTTATTATTACTTTTTGAATGTTTATTTATTTGAGAGACAGAGAGAGAGCATGCACGAGCAGGGGAGGGGCGGCGAGAGAGGGAGGGAGAGAGGCAGGGAAAGGGAGAATCCCAGGTAGGCTCCACACTGTCAGCCCAGAGCCTGACGAGGGGCTCTGACTCATGAAGTGTGAGATCATGACCTGAGCCGAAATCAAGAGTTGGACGCTTAAGCAACTGAGCCACCCAGGGGCCCGTGTAAAGATTTTTTAAGTCATGTCCACACCGCACGTGGAGCTCACACTTGGGACCCCGAGGTCGAGTTGCACTGTCCGCCGACTGAGCCAGCCGGGCCCCCGGGGCCAGGGATCCTTGAGTCTTTGCTCTGCTTAAACCCTGTTAGCTCTTTGCTTTCTCGGGATCTCCCCTTCGACCTGAGTCAGAGGAAACAGTCTGGCAGGAGATTTGCTACTTCCTGGACGTGTTCCAGGGGGGAAAGGGGCTGGTGCGGGAAGCTCACAGAGGCTGGGGGAGAAGTCTGTCACCCCAGGCTGACGCCCCTCCCGCCCGTGTCTCTCGCCGCAGGCCAAGGAGCGGGAGCTGGAGCTGAAGAACGCCTGGTCCGAGAACAAGCTGAGCCGCCGGCAGACCCAAGCCAAGTACGGGTTCTAGGGCTCCGGACCCGACTGCCCCCGGGACCTCCTGCAGCCCGGCGCCACGGCCTCACCTCCGGGACCCCTGCTGCCTCCAAGTCCAGGGCCTCCTTCCCTGGGGACCCAGCCCTCGCCTCCGCGAGGATGAACACGTTTGATAGATTTTTCTTAACAGAAGTTAGAGAACTCAGCTCCTCTCTGTCTTGGAGCAAAGACTCGAGCGGTGATACTTCAGACGGGGCTCCGAGTCCTTGGATGGGAGTTTTGCTCCCTCGTGGGTGTGATGAAATGGTGAACCCCTCCCTCCATCTTTTTTTTTTTTTTTTTTTTTTT